ACAATCAGGGTGCCTTGATAATTACTGGTGATTGGAATTCGAAAGTTGGAAACGAAGAAGAAGGATCGGTAGTTGGAAAATATGGCCTTGGTGATAGAAATGATGCCAGAGATTGTATAATAGAATTTTGTAAGACAAATGACTTCTTCATTGCAAATACCTTTTTCAACAAGGTAAACGGTGACTACACACGTGGACCTCGCCAGATGGAATACAGGAATCAAATCGACTATATCTGTGGAAAGAGACAATGGAAAAGCTCAATATCATCAGTCAGAAGCAGGGCAGGGGCCGACTACAGAACAGACCATCAATAGCTCCTATGCAAGTTCAAGTTGAAGCTGAAGAAAATTAGAACAAGTCCACGAGAGCCAAAGTATGACCTTGAGTATATCCCACCTGAATTTAGAGACCAGCTCAAGAAAAAATTTGACGCATTGAACCCTAATGATCAAAGACCAGACGAGTTGTGGGATGACGTCAAAGACATCATACATGAAGAAAGCAAAAGGTCATTAAAAAGACAGGAAAGAAAGAAAATACTAAAATGGATGTCAGAAAAGACTCTGAAACTTGCTCTTGAATGTAGAGTAGCTAAAGCGAATGGAAGAAATGATGAAGTAAAAGAGCTGAGCAGAAGATTTCAAAGGGTGACTTGAAAAGACGATGTAAAGTATTATAATGACATGTGCAAAGACCTGGAGTTAGAAAACTAAAAGGGAAGAACACACTTGGCAATCTTCAAGCTGAAAGAAGCGAAGAAAAAATTCAAGCCTCGAGTTGCAGTAGTGAAGAATTCTGTGGGTAAAATACTGAACGACGCTGGAAGCATCAAAAGAAGATGGAAGAAATACACAGAGTCACTGTACCAAAAAGAATTGGTTGACATTCAGCCATTTCAGAAGGTAGCATATGATCAAGGATCGATGGTACTGAAAAAAGAAGTCCAAGCTGCACTGAAGACATTGGTGAAAAACAAGGCTCCAGGAATTGACAGAATACTAACTGAGACGTTTCAACAAACAGATACAGTGTTGAAAGTGTCCATTCGTCTATGCCAAGAAATTTGAAAGACCTGGCCAACCGACTGGAAGAGATCCATATTTATGCCTATTCCAAAGAAAGGCGATCCAACCGAATGCAGAAATTGTTGAACTATCGTTAATATCACACGTAAGTAAAATTGTGCTGAAGATCATTCCAAAACGGCTGCAGCAGTACATAGACAGGGAACTGCCAGAAGTTCAAGCCGGATTCAGAAGAGGAAGTGGAATGAGGGATATCATTGTTGATGTCAGATGGCTCTTGGCTGAAAGCTGAGAATACCAGAAAGATGTTTATCTGTGTGTTATTGACTATGCAAAGGCATTCGACTGTGTGGATCATAATAAATTATGGATAACATTGTGAAGAATGGGAATTCCAGAACACTTAATCGTGCTCATGAGGAACCTGTACATAGATCAAGAGGCAGCCATTCAAACAGAAGAAGGGAATACGTCGTGGTTTAAAGTCAGGAAAGGTGTGTGTCAGGGTTGTATCTTTTCCCCATACTTATTCAATCTGTATGCTGAGCAAATAATCTGAGAAGCTGGACTACATGAAAAAAACGGGGCATCAGGATTGGAGGAAGACTCATTAACAACCTGCAAAGAGAACTTGAAGCACTTACTGATGAAGATGAAAGACCACAGGCTTCAGTATGGATTACACCTCAACATCAAGAAAACAAAAGTCCTCACAACTGGACCAATAAGTAACGTTATAATAAACAGAGAAAAGATTGAAGTTGTCAAGGAGTTCATTTTACTTGGATCCACAAAACAACACCCATGGAAGCAGCAGTCAAGAAATCAAATAAAGCATTGCATTGGGCAAATATGCTACCAAAGACCTCTTTTAAAGTGTTCAAAAGCAAAAATGTCACCTTGAGGACTAAGGTGCGCCTGACCCAAGCCGTGGTATTTTCAGTGGCCTAATATGCATGCAAAAGCTGGACAATGAATAAGGAAGACTGAAGAAGAATTGATGCCTTTGAATTATGGTGTTGGCAAAGAATATTGAATATACTATGGACTGCCAAAAGAATGAACAAATCTGTCTTGAAAGAAGTACAAACAGAATGCTCCTTAGAAGACTATGTCTCACATACTTTGGACATGTTCTCAGGAGGGATCAGTCCCTGGAGAAGGACATCATGCTTGGTAAAGTGGAGGGTCAGCGAAAAAGAGGAAGACCCTCAATGAGATGGATTGAAACGGTGGCCGCAACAATGGTCTCAAGCATAACAACCATTGTGAGGATGGTGTAGGACCGAGCAGCGTTTTGTTCTGTTGTACATAGTGTCGCTATGAGTTGGAACCAACTGGACGGCGCCTAACAACAATGACGACTAACGATTGTGAGCATCTTTTCAAATGTTTGTTGCCCCCTGAATGTCCTCTTTGGTGAAGTGTCTGTTCATGTCCTTTGCCCATTTTTTGATTGAATTGCTTGTCTTTTTGTTGTTGAGTTGTTGAAGTTGTTGAAGTTTTCTATATACTAAAAAAATTAGACCCTTATCAGATGTATCATTGCCAAATATTTTTTCCCAGTCTGTAGGTTATCTTTGTACTCTCTTGCTAAAGCATTTTGGTAATCATAAGTATTTAATTTTTAGTAGGTCCCAGTTATCTAACTTACCTTCTGTAGTTTGTGCATGTTCAGCTTAGTTTGATATACTATTTATACTGAAAATTAGATTCCCTAATTTCGACCCTATGTTGTCTTCCAGGAACTTTATAATTTTAACTTTAACATTTAGGTCTTTGATCCATTTTGAGTTAGTTTTAGTGCATGGTGTGAAGTATGGATCCTGATTCACGTTTCTGCATATGGATATCCAGTTTTGCCGGCACCATTTGTTAAAGAGACTGTTTCTCCCCCATTGAATGGACTTTGACCCTTTGTTGAAGATTAGCTGCCCATAGATGGATGGATTTACTTCTGTGTTCTTAATTCTATTCCATTGGTCTGTGTGTCTGTCATTGAACCAGTAGCAGGCTGTTTTGATTACTGTGGCTATATAGTAAGTTTTGAGATCAGGAAGTGAGAGACCTCCTACTTTCTTCTTCTTCTTCAATACTGCTTTAGCTATTTGGGGCCTCCTTCCTTTCTGTATAAAGTTGGAGATTAGTTTTTCCATTTCATGAAAGAACGTTGTTGGGATTTGGATTGGTATTGCATTATATCTACAGATTGCTTTTGGTAGTATTGACATTTTCACAATGTTAAGTCTTCCAATCCATGAGCATGGAATGTTTTTTTATTTATGTAGATCTATTTTAGTTAATTGCTGTAGTGTTTTATAGTTTTCCTTGCATAACTCTTTTATGTCCCTGGTTAGGTTTTTTCCTAGGCATTTTATCCTTTTGGGGGCTATTGTAAATGGTATTAATTTCTTGATTTCCTTTTTAGAGTCCTCCTTGTTAGTGTAGAGGAACCCAAATGATTTTTGTGTCTTCATCTTGTAGCCTGCCACTTTGCTGTGTCCTTCTATTAGTTCCAGTAACTTTCTTGTGGAGTCTCTGGGATTTTCTGTGTATAGGATCTTAACGTGGAATATTCTTTTTGTACAAAATGTAGTATATAGTAAACATTTTAGTACCTCGCATCCACTTCAAATTTTATGATCCAGTTCATCTCATTCTGTTAAAAAGGCATAAACCACTTTTGTGTTCAATGGCTAATATTATAGTCACGTTTAAAAAGAAATTACATCATGGATAGCTAAGATGCACAGGCACATGCATGTATACATCTATATATATAACTCAGATATCCTGTTCAAATGCATGAATAAGCAGAGGAGGGGGCACCACAGATGATCAGTGTTTAGGGCCCTCATATGTCTTAATCTGGCCCTGGGCACTCCCTCCTTGGGAAAGGGGAAGGGGATAGCAGAGGCTGGCCTAATATGGCCAGGCGGTGGGCCCAACCCTACCCACCAGGCCCGGGGCCTGGCCTGGCTTTGCGCCCTTGGTCTTCTCTGGGCCTTGCTGGGACACCCCTGGCCTGGACCACCCTCCCCACCCTACCGCCAGCCGCCTGTGGCAGTTTAAAGGCAACAGCCGGGCAGGAAAAGGATAAGCCTTCGGGCAGATTCTCTGAGCTGCCCAGCTGGTCCTCGAGGCACTGCCTGCCTGGCCCATCGATGGCCCTTCTGATGGGGCCCGCCCCCTTCTCACCTGGCCTCACTCCCCCCAGCTGACACCAGACCCATATTTTCTCTGATTATGGGCCTTCAGATCCCAGAGAGGATTCCAATGATGAGCTCCCAGAAAGCTGGTCCAGTCACAGCCCGGCCCCGGGAGAGCTCCTCTCTGTCCCCATTGTGGGCCACACCCCTGCAACAGACAGGAGGCTGAGACATGGGTGAGGGCTCCCGGGTGGGGCCGAGGGGTGCAGGGTGCCCGCCCAGGGCGGAGGAGGCAGCGCCCTAACCACTTCCCCTGTGGTGAGCGGGGCGGCCGCCTGTGGCCTAGCGACCCGTTAGGTGGTGAGGGGGGTGGGCAGGCGGGTGCTGCTGAGCTGGGCACTGCTGAGGCAGCGGGGTGGGGAGAGCCCCACCCACGGCCTCTGCTGGCCACCCGAGCAGAGCAGAGACCCCCCCCCCCATCCTGGGCCCCGAGCTCACTGGGCCCTCCCTTCCTCCAGCTGGGGCAAGGGAGGCCTCCAGAATACCTCATGCCCGTCAGTCACCCCAGCAGGCCCCGATTGGGCCCCAGTGAGTAAGGCCCAGGCCGCCCACCCACTAGTTCCTCCACTCTCAAGGCCCCTCCCCTGCCCCAGCCTGCAGCTCTGTGGGGGGCCCCACACCCCTGCACCCAAGGGGTCCTTGCCCAACATCTCTGCTTCCCCTGCCCCGAGCCCCACCTCCCACCCCGGGGCAGCAGTGGTGTTTCCCAACCACCCGCCCAGCCTTCCCCTCCCCAGGCACGGTCCCCATCCCTCCCATCGGCATGCGGTCAGGTGCCTGGCTTCTGGGCTCTGCTCCCACCCAGTCCCACAGGCCCCTGGGGATGGGTGACGACCCTGGGTGGGCAGCTGTGTAGTGTACATCGAGTCACCCTCCGGAGCAGCTGGCCTCTCTGGACCCCGTGGAGGCCCTCCTTGGCCCTGTCTGCGGGCCTGGCCTGGCCTTCCTCTGGCCCCCACCCGCGGCCCCCTGACTGCACTGTACTGTCATCATCATGAGGGGTGTCTCCTCATTTGCCTCTTAACTCCAACCCTCCCCACCCCGCACATCCCCAGGCTCTGGGCAGACAGGGCTCAGTCCACGCACCATCACCCAGGCTGGGGGGGGGTCCTCCCTCCTCCCTCCTCCCTGTGCCCCGAGAGCCCCCTGGGCTGCCAGCCCCCGACCCACGTGCCCTGGGCTGCCATTCCTGTCCCTCACAGACAGTAAAGCCATCGTGGATGGGAACCTCAAGCTGATCCTGGGCCTCATCTGGACCCTGATCCTGCACTATTCCATCTCCATGCCCATGTGGGATGAGGAGGAAGACGAGGAGGCCAAGAAGCAGACGCCCAAGCAGAGGCTCCTGGGCTGGATCCAGAACAAGCTGCCACAGCTGCCCATCACCAACTTCAGTCGAGACTGGCAGAGCGGCCGCGCCCTGGGCGCCCTGGTTGATAGCTGTGCCCCGGGTGAGACGGGGCAGGGCCTGCTGCAGTGCCCACTCTGGGCAGGGCGGGGAGACGGCTCTGTGGGATCCTGAGGCCCTCGGGCTCACGGCTCTCCCCTCCCTGCAGGCCTGTGTCCTGACTGGGACTCCTGGGACGCCAGCAAGCCCGTGAACAATGCACGGGAGGCCATGCAGCAGGCCGACGACTGGCTGGGCATTCCTTAGGGCACAGACTTAGTTTAAAATGGCTCCAGTACCTTTTTACCTCAATAGTGCCCTTCTAAGCAACGATCCAATCACAAAAGTTTCATGGAATCAATGGCATTTGAGCCGAGTCTTTAGGGAAGAGTCAAGCTTGGATATGTGACAAAGATGGAGAGGCCTTTTATTTTCAATTGTTTTATTATGGAAATTACACATATGCACAAAGTAGAGAGAACAGTATACTCTTCACCCAGCTCCAACAGTTGTCAACAGTTGGGCGCCAGCACTTCTTGAAGTAGTGAAAGAAGAGGCGCCCACCTGAGTGTGCTCAAATAAAGGGGTGCTCACTGCAAGGCTATATGGACCTGGAGGGGGTGTTGTTGGGCACCAAGCAGCTACTATTTTTATCGCTGTCTCTCTTGCTCTCACTCCCGTTTTTTCTGTCTCTCTGTAGTCATGTGGAATTCATTCATCTAATTTAGCTACCACCTCACCTTCTCTGCCTTCTGCCCAAATGACTGACCTGGAATCTCCATCTGACTTCCCTGCAAGGATTCTTGCAGGGAATCTCATGAAGTGCCATTTGATGGCGTTCCCCATGCCAACTCTTCCTCTTCAGGCTGCAACATTGCCTGGCTCTGAGGGCACAGGAAGGAAGTACAGCCTGAGGGGGAGAGGGCAATGTGCTGCCCTAAACTCTAGCTCATCCTCACTGCCATTGGTTTGCACCGTGCCATGTGTCACTTTCCACGGGTTGCTGCAGGCAATCCTCACCACAGTCCCAGGGAGTGTGTAATAGGATTGCCCTGTCTTTGAGCATAGCACTGGGCTGTCACAAGGAATTCCTTTGTCTGTCCTCCTCCACCCTACTGGTCTGTGAGCTCCCAGACAAACCTTGTAGTGAATTCTTCTCTGTAGTCTCCATTTTCACTCAGAGACTTGTCCTGACCTTGGCATTGACCAAAGAGCAGGCAGGGCTAGGTGTTAGGTAGACATGATAGACATGATTCTGCCCTCTTGGATGCAACACTCTTATCAAGGAGTGCTCCCTCTGGTGGTCTCTTTGAGGCAGAAGGCTGGGTTTTCGCCTAGGCATGATGAGGGAGGTGGTAAGGGCCACAAAGTGAGAAGAGCAGGCAAGGTTGAGAATAACTGCTTAGTGTTTTTCTTCATGCCTCAGGAAAATTTTTTTTTTTGCTTAAATAATAAGAAAATGTATTGTTGACCGAACACAAGTCCAGACAGAGGTGGTCATGGGGTTGGTTTAGTTGCCCAAGGAAGAGTCCATCAAGGACCGAGGCCTCCTCCTTTTTGACTCTTTTAACACTCACATACCTAGAAATTGGTTGGGTGGTGGGGATGGATCATCCCTTCCTATGAGCGAATAGGTGTAACACATTGTATTAAAATGAGTTGTTTTTGTGCTTTATCATCCAAGCTAATTTGTGAGGTCCCGGAGGGCAGGGACCATGTCTTACACTTTTCTGTATCCCCAGTGCCAAGTCCAGGGCTTGGTACACAGAAGGTACTTATGCATTCATTCAAGAAATACTTACTGGTAAGCGCTATGATGGAGGGAAACACAGGGAGCCATGGCACTTGGCCCAGCCAGTGGGGCGGGAGTGTGGTCAGCAAATGCCTTCTTGTGATCATTACACCTGAACTAAGTCCTCAGATCAGAGAAGTCTCAACCTGGCAGGATATCGAAAACTTTCATTCCATTAGCAAGTGAGGTCTGAAGATATTCCTAAGCCAAAGCTCATGGGGGTTCACAGTTCAGTCAGTTAACATTTATTGGCACCTATTATGTGCCAGGTGCTGGGGTGACAGAGATGAATCACAGTCACCTCTAGGCCAGTTAGGGAGATAGAAGAGGGGTAGCAGAGGGGCTGTCTGCACAGGCTTCTGGAACAAATAGCCCTTTAACTGAGATTCAGAGATGAGGAGGACTCAGCTGGCCTGGAAGCTGGAAACGGGGGAGGTCCCGAAATGCCTTAGTGAGGATGATGAGCTGAATGAGGGCCCCAATGCTGCTGCTGCTTCAGTTTGTGCTGTTGCATCTTAACTGAACTCTAGGCCATTTTCTGGTGTGGGGGAATTCAGTTTCTGGGATGGCTCTGCCTATCACCCCTTTACTTTATCTAGTCTGGACTTGGGGAGCTTCCTGTATTTCCATCCCTGTTGGTTCCTTGGCCAGAGAGGTGGCTGACATAATGTTTTGTTTGGGTCATCTCGTGACCTGCTTCCTGTCAGTGTCCATGACTCTGACACTGATCCAGATAATGGATGGCATTGTCCGTGAGGGGACAGAAAACATCCACAAATGCCCCAGAACTGCTCTGTCTCTGAAAGCTTTAGCATTCGTTCCATCTCTCTGACCGCGGAAAAGGGGGCAGTTGAGTTCCAGGTGCACTCATAACCATGATGCAGCCCTCACAGGAAGGAGCAGGGCAACGAGGTGAGGGGTGAGATGACCCACTGGCTTCTTGAAAGGAGGCCAGGTTAGTTGTGGTGGGCCACACCTTCCCCTTCAACTTGCGTTGGGCTGCCGCTTCATCCGATTGTGGCTCTCCAAGAGTCTCCTGAGGGCTCCCTTGACTTCCTTGTTCCTCAGACTGTAGATCATAGGGTAGAGCATGGGGGTTATATTGGTGTAGATTAAGGACACAATTTTGTCCTGTTCTGGGGTGTAGCATGACTTAGGGCGAATGTAGATGAATATCGCACAGCCATAGTGCATAAGAGAGACCAGTAAGTGCCCAGCACAGGTGGAGAAGGCTTTGCTTCTGCCCTCAGCTGAGTGGATTCTGAGGATGGCAGCAATAATAAATCCATAAGAGAGCAGGATCAGCAGGAAGGGAATCAACAAGATGAGCATGCAAACAAGGAAGACTGCAATCTCTTTGGCTTGGGTGTCGGAGCAGGCCAGGAATAGCACAGCAGGGATGTCACAAAAGAAATGATTGATTTCATGGGACTGGCAAAAGGGCAGGCGGAATATCAGTGTGGTAAGGGTGAGTGAAAGTGCAAAGCCACTGACACACGCCAGCACCAACATCTGCAAACAGAGGGTTCTGGTGATGATGAGTGTGTAGCGCAGGGGGTTGCAGATGGCCACAAATCGGTCGTAGGCCATCGCAGCTAGGAGAAAGCACTCTGCCCCACCCAGGGCAATGAAGAGGAGCATTTGCAGGGCACAGCCCAGGAAGGGCATTCGTTGGTTCCTGGACAGGAAATCAGCTAGCATGTTGGGGACAATAACCAATATGTAGCAAATTTCAATGGTGGACAGGTTGCGAAGGAAAAAATACATAGGAGTCTGGAGGCTGGAGTCAATGAGGATGATGAGCACAATAGTTGTGTGCCCTGCTAGGGTGACAAGATGCATGATTAGAAAGATTCCAAAGAAGAGAATCTGTAGTTCTGGCAGGTTCCCAAAGCCCAAGATAATAAACTCAGAGCTTAAGGTGTGGTTCTTTGGCAGTGAGTCCATCCTGTATCCTCCTTTGTAGAACTCCTTGGCTGGAAAGGACAGTCTTCTAGCAATTCTTCAAATCGTGGGAGACCCTGTGGCACTTCCCATTGATTGGATTGTCGCTGGCTTCCCAGGACCACCAACTCCCTTTTCTGTACTTAGCTCTCATTTTCATTCTATGAGCTTTTTGGATGCTGCCCTCCAGTCACTGAGAATGAAGAGTGATGTCACCTTTGCTCACTGTGATGTCACTTTGGCTCACCTGTTGAATTACTAAAAATATGACCCAAGATGAGTAAAGTCTAAATATGGAGTTGTTTTTCATAAACTCTAAAGAAAATCTTTCTGTCAGAGCTGTTCTGCATTTTGAAGAGCACCTTGGGGTGGGATGGGAGGCTGAGCTTGATGTTACTAAATAGAGCTAAGCCTAGGCTGGGCCTGCATGGTCATTGGCGCTGTAAGAAATTCCTGTAGGGTGTATGGTTTGGTGAGGTGATCTTAAAGACGCTTTTCACTTTGTGTGTTGACTATATTGTCTTTCCCTTACTACCACCTCTAATTCCCCAGGATTCCTGCAGCCCACGGCCTGTGAACAGGATGCTCAGAGAAGAAGGAAGCCTAATCAGCAGTAGTTGCTTCTTCCCCTGTTTCAGTGCCCCTTAATCGTAGGGAAACCCCAGTTTATGTGTCATCTCCTTCCGGACGCCTCTCCTGACTCCCTAGGCTGGATAGTCCCCACCTGATAGTCCCACAGCACCCTGGGCTTCCCTAATCATATTATTGACTGCTGAGTCCTGTAATTCTTTGATTATTTATCTGTCTACCCCAACAGCCTATGAGCTCCATGATGACAACAATGGTGTCTTATTCAGCCTCTAGAGCATAGTAGGAGACACATATTAAGATTATCAATAAATGCTTGTTGAACCAATGCCTGTTGCTCATTTCTGCACCCTCCCCTATTTAGTACAGGGTTTGGCATAGAGTAAGTGCCTAGCAAATACGCTTGAATAAATGCTTGAGTGAGATTACAGAATCTTTGACATTTTGGTGGTAGTTGAAGGCATACTTGTCCAAAGAGGGTGTAGAGTGAGGGGAGCAGAAGGCACAGGGGCAGGGCAGGTCACAGGGTAGGAGAAAGTTGATGTGGGAATGAGAACTCTCTGGACAGTGGGGGGGTTTAGTGCCTGGAGGGACAATGGCTTTGGTTGGTCAGTGTCCAGAGTGTGGGAGTGAGAGAATAACATCAGGCAGCTTCTGGGACTTTGGGGGAGATGTTTGCTTCCTCTTTCCCTTGGCTGGACTGGGACTGGAGGGAGAGGAAGGCCTTGGCGACAGGACCTAAGTTATAAGTAGGAAGGCTTCTGTTTAGCCTCTGATTTCTTCCTGTGCATCCTACATCATGGCGATGGAGAGGAGAAGACAGTTTCTAAGGATTCTAGAGATTTAACAAATTAAGAACAAACAGGATTTAAGGGAAGTGTAGTTGCCACCAACAGATGAGAGTTCATTCATTTCTACAGGGGTTTACTAAAACCTGAAAACC